GCATGTTTTCCTTTTTAATGTGGATTAGCATTTCCTCTGCACTCCTGAGAGTGGAACTTGTTATCAGAGTCTTTGTATCATTTGCAGAGCCCCTGGTGGTCTTAGGTGAGTCCATTGTTTGCCTTCATCATCAGATTTTATAAAGGTAGTGACTTGCTTCCTTGTGCCGAGCAGTTATTCTAAATAGTGAAGAAATGGGAAGTTATTCTAAGTGGTTATTAACTACCTGTTGGAAATATACATTTTCTCTGTGGCTTTTGGAGAGATACCAGGAGATGCTGATGAAGATTCTGGACATACCCTTCAGAAAAAGGCACATGTACATACAAACATGAAAAATCATGTTACTTATAGGGTTTTTGATACTCAGAACCGTGCTGTTGCTCTGCAGCATTTTATTGATCACGGATCATGAACATCTTGTCTGTGTCATCATTCAAATAAAAATCTATCACAGGAATGATTTCCATATTCAAACTAGTGGAATAAATTAATAATCTTATCTTCATTTCATTTCAGAAACAATCATCCTGTAACTTTTCCAAAAGTGTATTGCTAGAATAGGAGTGGGAAATTGAGGACGTGGGACACTGAATGACACTACAAACTGAGAAGAAGGTGATAGACCAACAAGTTGTTAAAAGAACAGTTCGAATGAGTGATTATAGAGAATTCCATAAGTTTAGGTAGAAAGAACAAAGAATGCATTGAGGACCTAGAGGTAAACGCTACTGTCATCTGAGGAGAGGCGAGGCTGGCTAAGTACGTATTGGGCAGGCCTCCTCTGAATGGCTGTGTGACGCAACATGCTCACCCCCCTCCCCAATGGGGACAGAACACAGTTTCTGTTCCAAAGGATTGTAACTGTGGACAGTCTTAAAAATCACATGGCTTGGGGCGCCTGGGTGGCTTGGTCGGTTAAGCGTCCAACTTCGGCTCAGGTCATGATCTCATGGGCCGTGAGTTCGAGCCCCGCATCGGGCTCTGTGCTGACAGCTCAGAGCCTGGAGCCTGTTTCAGATTCTGTGTCTCCCTCTCTCTCTGCCCCTCCCCTGTTCATGCTCTGTCTTTCTCTGTCTCAAAAATAAACAGACGTTTCAAAAAAATTTAAAAAAAAATCACATGGCTGAAAATTGTCAGTTCAGGAGAAGAAAAAAAATAAAGCTCGGAAATCTATTTCCAAATTATTGGTCTTTAACTTTCATGAGTTTCCAGCCTGCAGAGCCAGCATCCACCTCTGATTCCTCTAAAATTCTCCTGGGAGTATATCGGTTTTAGGTGTGAAGACGCAGGCTTTGGAATTAACCACCTCCAACCCCTGTCCCCCTGCCCCCGCCCGTCCCCCCAGGCTTTACTTGATGATCCTGTGGAAACAAAAATGACTTTGCTTGGTTTGGCAGAAATGCAGGAAAGATAAGCTGTTTGGGGAAGAGGGAACCTGTTCCAATCCCTGTCCCAAGGTCTGTTCAAAATGTATGCGTCAGCCTGAGAAATTTTCATATGTAATGCCTAAGTCTAATTATTTTGTTTGGTTACAAAGGATTGGCGGGGCATGCTTTAATCATTTTGATGCTAACATTGTCACAAGGCAACATGAAATCATTTTGAAATGATAATACTTTACATTAGTCACTATTTTTGCAGCTGTTTTTCCTTGTCAAATTTGAAACTAAACCCAATAGAATTGGTTGTGGTTAAAGAAAATAAATGACTACCTCAACTTTGTTTTCCTTGCTGTACCAAGAGAAACAACAAATGAGATGCAAGATTCTTAAACATCTTGCTCCTCTCAGTGGCACTGCCATAATTCAGGGACTTGCCATCTTTCAGGAACTTCTGGGTAGTCTCCCTTCTCCTACATTTCCAATTCTCATCCATCCTGAACACTGCAGCCAGACTTATTTTTCAACACTCAGTTAAAGTCTTTGTCACTTTTCTGCGTAACGTATTTTAGTGGCTTCCGGTTACCTCCATGATAATCAAACTTCCCAGCCTGCCATTTTAGGCTCTGGTTATCTCAAGGCTGCCTTTACGTCCAGCCTCATATATTCTGTATGTTCTAGCCTATCAAACTACTTCAATTCCACAAATATTTAATAAGTACTTAATTTGTCTCAGACACTGAGCGAGTGCTGGGGATTCAAAGATAAGTTAGACATAGTCTTTGTGCTGAAGGAGTTCACACTGCAGAGTAGGAGACATATTAAAAATGTATTGGGTGAGTGTGACGTATGATGATATATGCCCTTGTACATTCTCGTGTTCTTCTGCCTCAAAAAAAAACTTTTCTTTATATCTTTCCTGAAAAGATTCCATTCATCCCTCAACACTGTTGTCAATTGTTATCTTCTTTCGTAAAGTGACACACAATTAATTATTTGAAAGATTTCCTTTGTGTATACTTGTATTAGAATGTACTTTGCCTATACTGTATTCTGTATACCTTTCTACTTATATATTCATCTGTGAGCCCCTTGAACACAGGGCTTAGCATGACCACACCCTTAACTACATGCTCAATACCTAATATAATAGATTCTTATAAGTTTTTTGGACTGAATAGCTTTTTAATGTTAGTCCAATACTGTAAAAAGAATACAGAGAATTTCTCATCTTCACAAGTCAGGTTTAAGGGACGATGAGATACTCTTCTTTATTAGAAGTTATTTGGCTCAAACTGGAATTTAATAATCATATTCAAAGTAAGTTAATATTTACTGAACTTTTCCTATCTTCAAGGTACTGTTTTAAGAACCTTAAAGAAGTTATCTCCTTTGCTCATCCTAAGAATTATATGAGTTGGGAAATATTATGTCTTCCTTTGTGTACATTTTGTATAGAGTTTAAAAAATACATCGTTATCGTTGTAATAACTGATAGTACATAGCACTTACTATGTGACAGGCACCATTCTAATGCTCATCATTAAGTCCTTGAGTCCTCACGCCTACATGATTTATTAATCGTTTATATTATTATCTCCATTTTATAGAGGAGGAAACTGAGGCACGGGGAAGT